GATAGTCTAGATTGTAAGCTTCTACTGGTTTTCTTCAAATATAAACTAGTCCTAAGATGGGAAATAATATGACTAATGTGAAAACAATACTTGTTTGTACTGACTAATATTACACATTTTATGTTTCTAGCACCATAGTAATATCCATATTATAGTTATCTGTGAAATAAGAGGTACTGACAATCTGTGTAGCAAATATTCTGCCTTTGCAATTTCTCTTTGCATTGTAAGCATTCAAACTGAGTTCTATAGATGCACAAGTCAGTTTCAGTGTCCTTTCAGCTCTGTTAATAAATTTCATTTTCTGCTCACAGTCATATCTAACAGCTGATGTTTTGCCAAGAATTATTGTATATTGTTATTAGTTCCTTTTATTCCTGTTATTAGTTTTTCCTCAATAATTTTACAGCTTGAGATTACAGATCCAATATGCCAACCTGCCAAACTCAAAAATCAGGAGAATTTTTTCACTCACAAAATTAATTTTAAACAGCAAAGGTTTTTTTTATTTAAAACAGAATAAAAAAGATTCTGTTTTAAATAAAAATAAATACTATTTAATTAATATATGAAAGTGCAATACATATATTTTTAAATACAATTAGTTAAAAAATATTCAAAATATGCCACTAACAAAGCAGTCAAATTTTTTCAGGTGAAAATAAAAAGAAATTTTACCCATTACTTACATGTTAGACACTATTTTCACACAATATGCAATCATATACTATGTAAATTTCAATGAACTGAAGATTTATTTTTTACATCTATTTCTTTAACAACCGCAGTAGTTTTTGAATATATGATTTTGCTACTGGGAAATATTTTTTTAAATAAAAGCACAGTGTGATTGGAGGCATTCAGTGGCAGATTGTGCTCAAGGGAAAAAAAAAGAGACAATAGGTATTCCACATTAACAACTTTCAGTTCCTTATTTCCACAGAAATTTTTTTTTTAGCACTTTGAACTTACCACCATATTGCAAAACACTGCAAACATATTACACTTTCCTGATTAAATACTACATGGAAAGTCCTCTGTATACATCTTTTGAAAAATAAGTAAGTACTTTTTTTTGCAAACATGACTTACACAGAAGATTTACAAATACTTCCCCATTTTCAAAAGCATGTGAAATTCACACCATTTAGCACCTCCAGAAATGCAGAGGACAGTTTTGATTTTGCTTTGTGCTCACTGGCTGATGTGTACCACATGACCTGCAGCTGCAATTGATACTCATTGCAGATTCAGATCACATTTTCAGACACATCTGCTCCCATGCACATGGTAGTATGTTGAGAGATAATTGGTGCTTTTGAAGGGGTTTCAGAAGCTGGAAATTATATTTTTCGGTAAAGATAATGAAATACTGAACCAAACCAATAAAAATCATCTGAAAATTTAAGAATGTGGAAAAGAAAAATGTTGTAAAATAAGTGGGTAGGATCACAGGCCAGGAATTGAAAATCAGGGCTGGGCATCAACAATTGACAACAACAAAACGAGCTGGGGACCAACAGTTTTAATCACTCTGAAACTCAACCAAGTCACTTCTTTTCTTTTACAACAAACACAGCTTAACAAACCACAACTGAAATGAACACAACCTTAAAAATATATGATAATTACACACAAAAAAAGGGAAGGCTGTTTTTCCAGGTTATCAACAGAAACAAAATTTAACATTTTTAAATATAGTCCTCCTACTATTTTGGACAATCACTATTCAAGTACTATGTTGTTCTACATGATATCAATAACACACGTTTAAAAAAGATCCTTTATTAAGAAAATACTTTAGTGGCATTTGTCACTGTCCACTTCATGAATAAATATATCATCCTACATTTAAATGATAATACTAATCACATAGAATAAATGGCATGAAACTTTAAGTAGAGAATAAAGTGCAATAGTTTCATTGCTGTGAAAATTTCCTCTGCAGACATTTAACAACATAAAACAGTTATGCTGGTATAATCAGGTCACAGATCTTAAACTTCCAAAATTTTTATCAGTGAACAATATAATGAAAATTAAAACAAAGCAATTTTCATGACAGTCACTCATAATTTTGATAACAAATGAAAAAAAAATGAATCATATATACAGTTGATAATGAAACACATGGGTATAGTACATGGGATATGCAAACTACCATGAATTGTGCTTCTTGGCAAGATACATGGCTATAATAGATTTTGTCATAGTAGATGCTTCATCGAATTTTCTATAAATGTGCAAATTACAAAATTATGTTTAAAAGATTATTAAAAATATTTAATATGACTAAACATAAAAGTATACTGTAAATAACAATTCAAGAATTATTTTATTATTTCAAGACATAACTAATTCATTTTAAATATGCTCAAACTGATGCAATTATACAGTGAATTAGCACAAAAATTTCAGGACTATGGAAATTGCAAAGCTTTGAATTCTTTTTAACTTTCACTTGCTTCTTCTAAATTTTCATATAAATATATATTACCTTGTAAACAGCTTTTGATACTTATAAATTCAGCAACAGTTTTCAAAAGCATAATATTACCAGATTTTGAAATGAGAAGCACATCTTACTGTCCAACATGCCAAAAATATTTACAATAACTATACAGAAAAATATGTTCAACATACTAACAAAATGCCTACATCATTAATATTGGCTGCTATTTCTAAAGATGTTTTATAACTCAATAATTTTTCTCTTATATTCAGATAAGATCTAAAAATTTCAACAAAGCTTTACAAAATTTTAAACAACAAATAAAATAATTGAAAAATACTCTTCTCCCTTCCAAATACTACATATAGGTACACATATAGAAAAAGAAAGAGACAGTAAAAAAAAAAAAAAAAAAAAAAAGTGTTTTCAAGATGCTTAAAATGTCTGAATGTTTCAATTCCTTAAGTATTATATTTTAAGATGTGGGAGAGTATTTAAAAAATAATATGAAATTAAATTTGCATTTTGTATTTAAATTAATTATACAGTTGATATAACTCCTTAAAACTTCATTCCATACTAATTTTGTTGGCAAAGTACCATACTGCAAACCAATTCACTATGTATTTAGTTAATATAAGCATAAATATTTCTAGCTTTCTAACGTCAGCTGTAAATGAGCTTACTGTACATGCTAAAATAAAAATTATAAAATTAATTGTTGGACAATAAAATCAACATGTTAAAAAAATGTGAAACTGCTCTTTTTTAATTATTTTTCAAAGATTATTTTCATAATACTCTTTATGTATTTCCTTTCAGAAATTTCTAATAGCATGACACAAACATTACTTCAGACACACGAAAGCATCAATTTAACCACATGGCATTCTAAATAAATTAGAGTTTCATGCTACCATGCTTAGATGTCTTACCATGATCCATTAAGAATAAAATTAGTTCTAAATCATTTTATAGAAAGAAAGTAAAATCTTGCATTGGTATGGAAAGAAAGGAAAGAGGCATTTTGTTTTACAACACAATAGTTTCACTAAATATATATCCAGCTATAAAGTTTTATTTTTTCATAAAAGTACTGCCTCAAAGTATATCATTATTTACTTAAATGTATAAATTACTTAAATGTATAAATTTACTTAAATGTATAAATTTACTTAAATGTGTATGTCAGTGTATCTGAAAAGATGTTTATATATTTAGTCATTCAGACTTTTTAATAAATTTGGCAATGAGTTAGTATAGGGTTACCAAATATTACAGTTGCAGAAGTCGTTAACAATATAAAAATAAAACAAAAGGCAGATACATGCAGAATGATGCAAGTTATGAACTAGGGCTGTCTGATATATATACACATACATCCCTTAAAAATCTAAAACCAGTCAATCTGAAATTTATCTATGAAAATTACTTTAGCATAATAAATTAATGAAATATTCAGTTCATAAATGCTTATTTTCTTTACTACATTTTATCCTTGCACAACAAAAGGAACTAAATATTAACACATTAACAAGAACTGCAGTGTAAATATTTTCTAACAAATTTTTATATTTCTAATATATCAACTAACTTAAACAATTTATCATTACTTTAGATTCCCCCCCCCCAAAACTGCAATCTATTTTTATTGCAAAAGTTTAATTCAAACAGTGCTGAGTTATTCAGAATTTTAATCAACATTCTGCTTTATTAATCACATTAAACCAAATAATGCTGTGTTAATGTAACTGCATTTAATAGTCAGTTTAATACTATGTAGTGAGTTATTATTCTTGAAAATACATGAAGCTCTTTTCAATTGTTGATTTGGTTCAAAATTATAAAATATAAAAACATTTTAAATTAGAATCCTGATTAACATGCTTTGAATCTGCAAACTGTTATTGTCATTTTACAAGTTATATCAGGGTTCATAGCCACATTTTAGTTAAAAAAATAAGCACTTTTCAAGCACATTTTAAGGAAAAAATAAGCACCTGTCTAATTACATTATACACAACTACATAACCTTAAAAGAAAAATTACACTTGTAATTTAAAATATGAGCAATGCAATATTTATTAAGAGAATGAGCATTACCTCAACAAAGGAAAACAATGAACTTTTTTTTTTTTATAATTTTAAATGACAGTTCAATTTACAGAATTAGTTTACGATGAAGAAAAAAAAACTATTCAGAACTAACTAAATTACAAAATTTAATGATGATATTTCAGTTGAAATATATAAAATAATATAAGCCATATTAATTGTATCGTTTGACACTAATAATAAATACAATTTATATTCCCACTCATATTAATATTTAAATAATTTAACTTAAATCAAAATTCTGAACATTTTCTAAATTTTCATTGCATAACAGTTTTTTCTTAACATATATCCCAAGCAAAGTAATTTAAGCACAAAAGAAGCACATTTCTAAAATCAGAAGACGGGAAATTGCTTCATTCAGTCATCCTTTAACATTAAAAGCTTAACTAACCCGCATACTCGAAAATTCCGGATAGTAACTGGAAAAAGAGGAGTGGGGAAGATTGTAGCCGTTCTTTAGATTTAAATTTAGGCTAAATAAATGATTTTGACATTTCGATATGTGCATCATATAAAAATAGACCAACGGAACTGAGAAATATTCTGCTTAGAAAGGTACAGTAAAACTCATTTAAGTGTTCATAACCAAATCTCAGACTGAACATCAAACTTAATTATCAATGCAAAATACAGCAAACGTTATTGTGCAATACATGCGCTGTAATTCTTCCCTATATGATATTAAGCAATCGGATTCAACAGCTGCCGGTATTGGGAGAATAAAGAACTAAATAAAGGAAAAGAAAGAGACTTACCAATCTGGGGTGTTTCTGATTCTAATTTTCCGGAATAGAATCAATCTTTGCTTGTTGGGTAGACCGCAAAAACTTTTAGTCCTATTCAATCCAGATTGGACAGTGACAAAAAAAAAAAAAAAAAAAAAAAAAAAAAAAAAATAAAATAAAATAAAATAAAAAATAAAAGTTCGCTGCTTCAATATTAGAGATTTTGCGGAGAAACTCCCACTTCCGTACTGTATAATGTATTGACAAAAATGAAATTATTTTGACTATTCGATTACTTTCCTTTTATTTAAGCCATTCCGAATATTATTCCTTAGAAAGCTAATCTGTGTAAAAACACACCCATTTTGGAAGTTTATCTATCTTTCAGCAGTTACTGCAATTATATTATTATAAATATTCATACATATGCTCATAATATAAGCATAACGATCATAATAAACGTGAATATGAACTGATCACGCGGAACGAGAATGCAAATTATTAAAATCTTGATAGAAATTCAAGCGTGTGTAGTATTTGGGTGGGTGGAAAAGAATACCGAATGTACCGGAATTTTCTACGTTTTCGCAATTCTTTAGCCAATAGAACGACGTGCACCTGTCTGTACTCTTGCGCGCACCATAGGTTACGTTAATGCAGAGGAAGGGGGGAAGCAATTTCCGGGAGTATGATTCACCATCTGATGTTGCATATAAAGAAGAAAAGTTGTTTATTTAGTTTCGGCTTTGGTACGGGGAAAAAATGCGCGTTCATTAAAAACAAAGGATTAAAAAAAAGCACTAAAAGCAAAAAATAAGCACTAAAAACAAAAAATAAAGGGCTTTAAAGAAAAAGTAAGCACCTATAAGGGCCTTTATATTTTATTTTCAAATATAAGGACTTATAAGCACTTGTAAGGACCGCTACGAACCTTGTATATTCAATAATTTTCTTCATGCCCTTCTAAAAAGAAAAATATTTTGAACTACTACCTAATAAGAACTCTAAGCATAAAAAATGATGCTACTTTCTACAACATACAAATGAATTGAGAACCAGGCCATTTTATTACAGAACTACAAGTTAATTGCTAGTTCCCAATTCAAAATGGTTTCATCTGCCCTGATTTCATGTAGATGTCTGATCCTAACTAGAAATGGCTAATTATATTAATAATTGCTTCAGATTTGAGTACATATCTGTGAGAACTAGACATTAGTTTTGCACCCTTAGAATGTATGTATGTTTCACAATTGTTCGTTTTTCTGCATTTCAAAATAAATATTAGTCCCAGAAAGAGTGCAAAAAATATTGCACTTTAAAGTCCCATATTCATAATGCTTCCACTTCTATAGCTAGAAAATCAAGTGCTTCTCAAATTCTGAGAAATGGAGGAAAAACATGGAAGAAAATGGATGGGGGGAGGTAATATTTTTTTTTTTTTTTTTTTTTTTCAGAGTAAGACATTTATTTGTCCACGGTTACACAACAACCACAGTTAGATGGAAAAAGCATGAAGCAATAAGACCTCAATAGCTGACAGACTATAAAATACTTTTAAGAAATAAATGTTTAAGTCCCCCCCCCAGTAGTAGATGATATTGCAAATGCAATTCCTTAACGAGATGATACATTCATTCCAATAAATAGGAATTTTTTTGTATTGTGCTATTCTTTCCATCATGGAATCCAAAAAACTTTTGCAGGAATATTTCAACATGATTCTGCTCCCTACTATAATTATAAATCAAAGGGGGGGGGAATCCTTGACGGGTTATGAAATTCTCCTTATTTTAAATTCCAAGAAAAACTAGTGGAATAGTCTGAAGAAACAACTCAGTAAAATGAACTACTCAACAGAACAGTGCAAGATAAATAATGTTATAAAAGTGTGGTTCCATGATCAAGAAGTGGAAAAAATATACACTACTCTATTTCTGTCATTGCCAAAGCACATTAAAGAGATCCTTTCTGTTGAACAATTTCGTATTAATTTTGTTTATTACCACAGCATAGGAAAAGGAAAAAACACCTTTTAAAATCATGTTGCAGCAATTAATTTGCAAACTATAGTAGTTCACTTTTATCTGGTTATGATTGAGAATCCCCCCCCCACAAATTTAAAACTGGATGTTTATTGCTTTTGCTGAAAGACAAAGAGATGCAACACTAAAGATCAATTAGTAAGACATGTCATACATATTTGGCAACCCTAAGAGGACTCAAAAGTCAGTGTTCTGATGATAATTAAAACATATCTCAACACATATGCAATAATAAATCAATAAATGTTTGAATTGCTAAAGCACAATATAAACATTTTTAAAAAATGTTTATCCTAGCAAAATAATGATATTTAAAACAACATAAAAAATCGGTATTTTTCAGTATATTTAAAGAATATTATGAAAATGCAAACATTTTAAGCATGTCATCAAAAGATGGCAGACGTGAATTATCATAAAGAATACATTCAGTGACAATCATTACATAATAGTATCAGATTCACACTCAGAAGGAAAAAAAAATCATTTTTTAAAGTTTAAAAAACAATGTACAAATACATTACGGACACGTTACAATGTGAGTTATACATGAATATTGATGAGTTAAAAAAAATGTTGCAATTCCTAACTTTTAATTATGTAATTTCTTCCCTCTCCACTCTATGTTAATGATTTGAAAGTTCCTTGTAAAATGCTCTAAACTTGCTTAAAAATAGTATACATAATGAAATGTGAAAAAATTACTAGCTCATGAAACTTAAATTAGTATTAAAAAGTCGTACTGAAAGCACGTGTAAAAGTGCTAAAATGTACTATAACCAAGTCTGATCAATTCAGAAAGGTTAATTACAAATAGCTTATAAGAAACTCATTTAAATACTTATAGGTAATAAGAAAGAACAGTGAAGAAATATTAAACCAAGATATGAAACACAATATTGAGCACAATTTATACAGATCAAGAAACACTACATTCACATTTGAGCAAATCATTCACCAGGTATTGATTCTCACTTCAGAGACTTGAGAAAGTTAGAAAGATCATATTCAGCTTCATATTGAGATGTATCCCAGAGTTCAGGCAAATTGTCAAGCACAGATTTGATTCCTTTCACTTTGACATCTCTTGATTGTTCCCCACTTGAATTAGATGCAGAAAATTTTTCGCCTTTGTTATTTAAAGTAAACAAATCAAGCAGTTGATCTGTTCCCATGTTCTGGAGGCTTGTATTCTCTTGATTTATCACAGAATTAGCAACAGATAATTTAAACTTTTGGAGCCTAAAACAAAAGAAGTCAAGTATGTTTGGAATAATTATTCTGAAAATATGATACTCTACATAATATATTTAAAAACCAGGCTACATATTCGTTAATAATTTTTAATATTGCATTTACATATATTACTGAAATCTTTGCTTCAAAACTAAGTACAAAAATCAGTTTCCTCTTTCTTATAAAAAATATATGAAATAAAACTTCAGCTATAACAATATAATAAAATTAATAGAAATGAAGAAGCAGTTTTAAAATTTTCCCTGAAATATCATTTTATTGATTTCATAAAAACAGTTTTCTTGACATGAATTCAACTCTCAATTTTGTTGACAACAAAATACAAATAAATTTAACCAATTATGACAAAATACAGGAGGACTATTGGCTTAAGAGATGCCTTTATGGAGGACTTTCTTATTTGCCATGACATTATACACAGAGAAAATTATGCAGTGCCCATATACAGCCAGTTCCATTTACCAAGATTTAAAACTTGACCAAGTTGCCAGTACTTAACAATTTTATGCAATCAGTCACTGCTGGGTCAAGAAATGAACAACAAACTTCACGTTTATGTTAAGATAATTGAGTGTTGATCTTTCACCTAATGTAGCTAAGTAATAGCTTTTTAATTAAGTAAAAGAAAACTCCTATATATATGTCCGAGTTTATTTCTATCTTCAAAAAGAATCTTTGTAAGATATACATGATTTATTCTAAGTTCTACAACTATTTAAACCCTCATAGTTAAGTGGATAAAAGCATAAAACACTTTAGTTTGGCTACAGTGGGTTTCATAATAAATGCAGAAATGCACATTAGTTTTATTATAAGGCTCTCCATAAGAACATTCTCTCCTATAGAAAGAATTCTTGAAAGTGCTGCTATATTATCTTTACAATATTTTATTAAATGCATCTTAGCATTATTAAATTAATAAATGATATTATTTTATGTTTTAATTAAATGTTATATTCAGGATACTCTCTCCAACTCAAATTTTTAAAACTTTTCATTTGACAGAAATAAGGTATTTAAAATTTAAATGTATTTCCAATCAGGTACACAAAAGAATTTAGTATTCTAATGTTTGAAAACATGAATACAAAGATTCGAGATACAAGACGTTTTATTTGAATTTATTGCTATTAATTTATTAACACATTTAAATTTTTTAAATTTATGAAAATCAATTTTAATGCTTTCTAAAATATTTGTTTAAAGTGGCATTGTACAGTTTTAAATTTTAGAGGAAACAATTACAATACATTCTCAGGCAGTTTTACTTATGTACATAAACATATGGAATGAGGTAATTAAAACAAAGCTTTTTATAAAACTCAATTTTTAGTTCTCCTTTTTTATAATAAACTTACCCCATGATTTTTTCTTCAAGTGTTCCTCTTGTAATTAATCTATAAACATTCACAACTTTCTTCTGACCTATTCTATGAGCTCGATCCATAGCCTTAAAAAAAGGGGGGAACATATACATTTTTTAGTACATGCATTTCTTTTACCATAAAATCTCAATACTATAAGCTAAAGATCTGTCACATGTATATGAATTTTATGGTTCAAAGTAAACACATGATCAAAATAAAATTGATTTTCATAAAGTTAGCCCTTTAACTTTTTCATGATTTTACAGAGATACATAATAAATATATAGCGTATATATATACATAAGTTTTCTCAAAAAATGCTCATGATAAATACTTTTTGAATGATTGATTATAGACTCATGGTTGCAGTTAAGAGAAGAATTAAACAAGAAAGTCTTGCATGTTGCAACTATTTTGGTCACATGAAATCAATCAGCAAAAAGCTATTACAATTTTTATATGGACCCAGCAGGAGAAAAAATATCAATAAATAAAATATTTCTCAAAGCTAATCTACCCTCCCTAAAAAGATAATAATAGATAAAAAGATAAACATATACATATAATTAAAGTTTCCAAATGCAAATTTCTGAAAAACGTTTTTTGGATCAAAACCTAATAAATATGAATTTAAATTCCCATTTGTAGAAATGCTAAAATCCAAATTATTATTATTTTACTTAAACCTCTATAGCAAACCAGACCTCTGATAGCAAACCAGACCTCTGGCTTCCCTTTCTTTCTAGAAAGACTTTTAGTAGGGTAAGGAATAAATTTAATATTTTTTCGGTGCAAGGCTGGATGAAAATTCAGATTTCACACATTTCTGCTAAAATGTATCGCATAAGCAAAATTATCACTGTATGAAAGCTTACTTTTGACAATCCAACTGTTCAAGAAACAGTCATGCGATCTTTCTAAACATCTTATGCATATATATTGTTAGGTGCCTATGGGTTCGTAATGGATTGAATGCACACAGAACCTATGACAGCTAGATAAAATTAATTTTCCCAAAAGAAACATTTCACTCTGAAACTTTTCACAAAAGTACTTGTACAGCTTATTTCAGTATAACAGAGAGCAATCAGTTATTACCAGTTAAAACTACTAAGATGTTAAACACAATGCAATGCAAAGTGCATCTAAGCTTGCAAAGAGATCTCTCAATAAATCTTCTCTGAACTGAAATGATGCTGTCTCTGGTCTTATAGTTTTTCCAGCTGTCAGAAAATTTACATTTCTTGAAATTACTGGAAGACATATACTGTAATATCTTGTTATTTAATAAATAAATATAATTTTGTTGAAGTGGCAACGCCATATTTGTATCAAACCGTTACTCAGCAACGAGAGATATTGTTTTAAAAAGATTTTGTATTCTGAAGATTTTGCCAGCTAGGAGTAGTATTAAAATTTTGCCACTTAAGAATTGTATAAATTTGTCTATCACCGAGAACTAGAAAAAAATTATGTTCTACTAAGAAGATTGTCTGTTTTGTAAATTATTGCAAAATACATTACAGTCTTAATAAATTGGTGGTTCCACCGAGATACTGGAAATTAGGAGTGCAATTATCAATTTCGATGGTGCTGGTCTTCTAACCCCAGAAATTTACTGAATTTTTTAGATCAAGTTTGCTAATACCAATTACCAAGTTTGTTTATTTCAAGGAGAAATGGATGTAAGAAGTCTGCCATTTTAAAGCTAGATTTGAAGCGGATCATTCAAAGGTCATCTTCTGTGCTTCTATATCTTGCGTCCGAGCAAAAACTGTCAAACATAGGATATTGCTGATCTCTGAAGATAAGATTAACTTTTGGTTTTCTTAAAAAAGATTTTATTGAATTTTAATACTTTGTTTCAGAATTATAGTTTATCGTGTAAGATTTTGTTTTAAAATAACTGACACTAAAAAATATTCAGCTTAATTTAAAATTGATATTTGTGGTAAAGAAGTATTTAAAATTATTTATGCTTACTTTTTATTATATTGAAATTTTATGTTGATATGTGTAAGCCATCCCGGCGTTTATAAAAAAAAAAAAAAAAAAAAAAGAACTGCTAGCTGAGTTTTGAATTTGTTGCCAAGCAGGCGCGTGGAAAATAAGTAGCAACGTCAAACTGACTTTTTCTTAGTTCTTGCCATGCAGGCGTGTGGTAGATAGTAACGTCATCCCGACGTATTATAGATTGTATATTCTAAAAGTTGTATTGCCAAATTGGCAAAAATTGTTTTTGTTATCGCCAACCAGGCGTGGAGATAGATAGTAAAATCGTCAAACTGACGTTGGTAAAATTCCATTGTATTGCCTAACTGGCAAAGGTGTTTATATAGTTATAGCTAACGAGGCTTGTGAATAATGAGTTAAAACGTCAACCCGACGTAGTATTAATTTATTTTGTGCCAACCTGGTAAGTTGTTTAAAATTTCTCTCCAATGGTTAGTGTGAATTTCATATTCGAGAAATTAAATCTGCCAGAAATGATATATTTTTAATACAATACAAGCTTTTAGATTGAATTCAAAAGGAAGCCTATTAAAAGTAACTGTGTCAACAGTCATTCTTAGCTAGGAGTAAAAACAGGATTTAAAAGTACTAGCAGAAGATTAAGTTTAAAAAACCGTGAACCTGAATTTAAGATTGCTCATGCATAACTGATTACGGAAAGTCCCGATTATGATGAGGAGTTTACTCGAGAACTACTGCTGCATTAGAGAAGAAAGGGAACGAAAAGAAGAATGTGAAAGAGAAGAAAGAGAAAAGAAGGAGCGAAGAAGGAAAAAGAACGCGAAAGAGAAGAAGAAAAGAAGAATAAAACGGAAAGGATAAGAAGAGAAAAGAGAAACGAAGAGAAGAACAGAGAAAGAAGAGAAGAACGCGAAAGAGAAGAAAGAAAAGAAGAGCTTGAAAGAAGAGCGAATAGAGCCTTTGAGCTACAGAAACTTCAACTGGAAGCATGGTTGCCCAGCACAGCCGTAGAAACTACGCAGTTACCTGAGCACCTTAAAAATCAGATTCACGATGTCATGCCACGTTACCCCAAGAAGAGGAAATAAGTTTATTTCTGGTGTTATTTAGCTTCAAGCTAAATAATGAATAACCTGCTGAAAATCAAGTGACTCACTTATTTCATTGCTGCCTCCCGACATTGTTCAGCTTATTGCTAGAGAACCAAAGAGGACGCGAAAAGTTGAATATGTAAAACTTACTGTACAACGATTAAATTAAGTGCGGAAAATTCGACAACTATTTAATAAACACCAAAATCTACTGAAAGTACTTGGTATGATTTCTGCTAGGAATTAAAAAATATTTAGAAGGTAGCTTAGGATTAAACTTAAAACTTTGACAGCTAAAAGATCTCATGCTGGTTGATCAAATAAAAAGGCGTCTTCTCCTGATTTCAAAGAACATTTATGGATCAATGGACAACATCTTCACCTACTGAATGGTTAAGAAATGGAGATTTTGAAGATGTGAGAAAAACAATAAAACCGAAATTTCTACCAACAGCTGAGAAATTAAAGGATCATTTAACCGCGTTATGATCTTTTGTAAAAAATAGAGCATCCCTCATTTTAAGCATTCTGATAGATGGGATGATTCAAAATACAGAGATCATCACCAAGGAATCATTCCAAACAAAAACCAAAAATTTATATGACAAAGATATCGACTACGTTGTTCGAGTGGTGGATCATATGAACATTTTAAGCCTCAGTGTCCTCCTTAAACAAATGAAGATAAATTGCGTAGCTTCGAATATGATTTGTTAGAGACTATACAATTAACGGTTGGAATGGGCAAAATGCTATTCTCGAGACACAGGAGCCCTGTGATGTATTTCGGAAACTAGATAACGCAACATGACTGGAGAACATCTGGGTACAATATCCTTTAAATGACCATTTAGTGTTCTACCTTTAGCGGAAGTGAAATTAATTGCGAACTTGTCATATAACGACAAGGCACTTTTTAATGATCCTGCAGATTGTTTGGGTAAAAACTGCCCTTGTTCAAAGTAAATCATTCTAAATTTAGAAAAAATAAATGCGTTTTGACACGATCTCAAAAAGATCTCGCAGTGAAGATGATCGAACGAAATTGAATGGAGAACTAGAAGAACTGAGTTATTGCCGCGAAGATTTTTACCTCAACTGATGAGGAAACAAGGAACTTAAGAAGTGATAATTAATCAATGAATTATTGGAATTCAATCAAGCAGAGATCAGGTCATGGCTTAACGAAGCTAAAAAAATTCCAGCAGAATGATTTCAAAGTAAAATGGTTTGGTAAAGAAAATAGATAAAATGGAATGAAGGAAATTAATGTTATTCCTGAAAATATAGGTCATAAAGTCATTATGTCATGACAGCAATCTGGACATTTAGGCGTTGTCAAAACTAAAGATGATTAAAGATACTTTTACTGGCCTAATTGCTATAAGAAATAAAGAGTTGTTAAACTGCGATCCATGTCAAAGAGTAGAAAATCAAAAGCCAAGCACCTTTGACTTAGTACCATTATTGCAGAATATTTTCAAATTAACTGACGCATGCGGTCGTTTACCAATAACACCAAGGCAATAGATATTTAATACAGCTATTTGTTTGTTCAAAATATAGGAGCGTACCTGTTCCTAATATTGGCACAACGTCATAATTGAAGCCATGTTACAAATATTTAGTAGAATGGTTTCCGAAAGAAATACAAAAAACTGATCAGGTACTCCTTTATGAGCAATCTAGCTATGGAATTTGTAGAAAATTTGGGAATAAAGTAACTAGAAGACTCAGTACACCTCAGCAGAGCACCCTGTTGAAAGATTTCACCGAACAATCAACAAATTTAAAAGTTTATGTATCGAAGCAGCCCTGAGTGGGAGAGCATCCCGCACTCTATTTGCTTTAAGAACAATAACGCACGAGAGTAGGATTTACACCTGCAGAATTAGTATATGGTTGAATCTTAGAACACCTGTAAAATATTTATGAACAATGGATGATCCTAAGACGGAATATGTTGTTGAATACATTTTTCAATTGAAAATCGTTAAAAGCTGCAAAGAGCTGATACA